TGCAAAATTAAAACGTAAACATCAAGATACAGTTGGGAATGGAAGCCAAAGGGATTATGCTTTTTAATTCCTTTTCCCTTTTATGATGATGTTTATGAGGAAAGCAGTAGAAATGGGGCTGGAGAGATGGCTTAGTTGTTGAGAGCACTGGCAGCTCTTACAGAGGACCTGGGTTTGGGTCCCTGCACCCACATGGTGGCTCACAACCATCCGTAACTGCAGGGGATACTGTCCTTTCTTCTGGCCTCCTGAGGTACCAAAGATGCACCTGCTGCACAAATATACACGCAGGCAAAGCAGCTATACACGCAAAAATAAACACTTTATGTTTTAAAAAGTAGTAGAAGTGATACGTAATATTTGTTATATTTAATCATTTGCAATGTTTTATGTATATCCTTTTCATTTTGCCACCAAAGAACATGTTCAAGTCATCCTCTTTTGAGGATAAGAAAAACAACCTCAGCCAACTGACTGTGCGAAGTCACAATTACCCAGATATGGTCAGGTGATTTTATCCTAAAGTCCTTTTATTGGTATGGTTGTCAGTTGTACTTTGAAACTGATACTAGTATGCTATAAAAACCTAGCATGCTTTGCAGATAGAAGAGAAAATTTTGAAGTATATTTAAATGTAATACCCTTTCAAGGAAAAGTGATAATAACAGTTTAGAATTTCTCCATCTTCACAAAGCTCTATTTGACTTATAATACATGAAGAGTTGTTCCAGAGTTTCATCAGTCCTGGCTTATGATATCTGTGGCCTGATGTCTGTCCAATTCAATTACTTTTACTGTAAGACAGGTTGTCTTGGAGCTCAGACTGGCCTCAAACTCTTTCTTTTGTTAAGGATGGCTTTAAATTTCAGATCTTCCAGACTCTCCTTCCCTAGGGCTGAAATGACCGTTGTGTGCTAATATACTCAGTCTATATAGTATCAGGATCAGGGGCTTTATGCTTCAGGTATGCTAGACAAGCACTACTAAGTAACTATAGCTAAAGGCTGCAATTCTGTTATTAATGATGCAACACACGAAAGGGTCAAATAGCAGTTTCATTTGGATACAACCAATAGAATGGCAATGCCTTTGTCCCACTCTTTTCTGAGGCTTACCAACTTTATATTTTATTAGTTTATTTTATTGTTTGTTTGTTTTCTTTTTTTTTTTTTTTTTGAGACAGGGTTCCTCTGTGTAGCCTTGGCTGTCCTGGACTCACTTTGTAGACCAAGCTGGCCTTGAACTCACAAACATCTGCCTGCCTCTGCCTCCTTGAGTGCTGGGATTAAAGGTGTGTGTCACTGTACCTGGTTTACCAACCTTTTAACAATAATCCTTATGTTTTAACTGGAACTTGATGTTTAAATATTCCTACTTAAAAGGAAAATTTGTTTCTAAATGATACATTGGAGTCCCTTTCCTCATATTCTCACAGAGTGGTGTGTGTGTGTGTGTGTGTGTGTGTGTGTAAATGTGTGTGATCATAGGGATAGAACCCAGGGCCTTGCTCATGCTCGGGAGTCCTTTACTACTTAACTGTATCCCAACCCTTGACTTCATTATCTCTAGGTTTGGTAAGGATGACTCATAAGTTGAATATATTTGGGTGATTATTTGGTGTTCTTTTAAATTATTTTTATGACCTTCTCTCAACTGTATCCATAACAGCAGTCCTGAATTTCACTCCCAGGTCAACTAACTGGATAGGTGTCATAGCCGATGGCAATAGTGAGAGGCACAGAGATGAGCTTTTTCATATCCTCTTCTTTAGAGTCTGTGACTTGCATATAGCCCCCCTAAGGCTGGCACCCATTAAATGACAATGAGACTGAACTGAAATAGGGTTATGGTTGGAGCTGGACTCCTGAGTTCAAATCTAAGCCCACCATTTCATGGCTTTATGTCCTCAGATAAGAAATACATGCCAAGCATTTTCTATATAAATGTTCTATAATTAAGTTATAGAATATTGGTGACCAGTGTTGGTCATTTCAGATCTTAATGGTTTTTTTTTTTCTCAGACATAAAAAGTGTACCTATATTGCAAGTAGATCTGCTTTGAAGCATGAATGCTTTAATTTAGTTTCTATCAAACTATTTACTAAAGTAAATAACCCATCCCACCTTCCCCCAGAACAAAATCACTAAACATCTATGACCCTAAAATAATTCCCACTTTCTTTCTTGTTCCTCATCATTTTCTTTCCTTCCCTATTTTTGTGTGTGCTTCTGTGTGTGGTTGTGTGCATGAATGTGCAATCCGATCGATATGCAAGTAGGAGCGCATTCTGTATATGCACATGTGCAAAAGCCATTAGTCAGCCACGTATTGTTCCTATGGGGCTGTCTACCTTGTTTCTTGAGACAGAGTTTCTTAGCAGACTTTAGAGATCACTGGTTAGTGCGACCGTCTTAGACAGAGATCTGCCTTTCTCTGCCTGCCAAGCAAATTACAGATCTGTGATTCTTTTAGGTTGGCACTATGTATTGAACTAAGATCCTCATGCTTGCTCAGCAGTTATTTTAGCAACTGAGCTATCTTGCCAGCCCCTACCTTTCTTTTTTCCTCAAAGACTCACCTGATAATTTCCTGGACAATTTTATTCCAAACTTCTAGTAGGAATGATCAGGATGGTGATCAGTGCAGCTGGGGAGGAAGAAGTCCTGCTTGCCCTCTGGGCCTGAGAAAGCACATAGACAGGTAGGACACCAACACATCTGCTGGCAGATGTTAATGTGCCAACTTCTTCTTGTGCTGGGACTAGAGCCTGGTCAAGTGAGGAAATGAAGAAATGGAGAGGGGTAAGAGTCCTTCAAAGGGCAGCCAAAGTCATGCAACATTCCTAGCTCTTCACTACAAAACAAGAAGAGAGAAATAGCTCATACTTCACTGTCATTTGCTTCACTTATTTGTTGAAGAATGCAGATAAATGTTAAAAATGTACCAATCTATACCTGTCATTTCTCATCTTCTAACTGCTGCTGTCACAAATCATTTGTTTTATTTTGTGTATTTAAGGATCCTAGCTTTTTATTTTCCTTTTTCTATGTAGGGCATGAATTGAACATTGCTTTAATAATAACTGAGATTAAATATTACATTCTATCTTCCTTTTCTCTCTTCTCTAAACATTAAAATCTGGTGATTCTTAAAGAAGATCTGTGCATAGCCAGAACATTTACCCTCAGGCTTCCTCATGTACTCCCCTGCTCCCTATCTCTGATGCAGGCTCAACTGGTTTTTCTCTCTTAAGGGCATCTATTAAAATGGAAGGAGAGAAAGCTAATAGTTTTTAGATCTCACTATGTTTTGTGTGTTGGATATTTAAAACCTGATTTATTGTATAATCTCCTGCCTTTTTTATTGACATTTTACAAATGTGTTCTCAATATTTCCTTAGAGTTTATAACACCTTTAGCTACACCCCTCCTAGGTCCTTCAAATATTCATACATTGTTAATAGGCAAAAATGCATTAGTAAAAATGTATCTCTGTGCCCATTCATTCATGCTCTCACCCTTGGTGGAGAAATGCTCTGTATTCTTATCAATTACTTTTTCATGAGCGATGAATAACTTTAAACAGAGCCCAAGCCCCTTGTGGGAGTGTGAGCATTTGATGTCCATATAAAATCTTTTAACACCTTTGTCATTTCCTCTAAAGTATGGATTTACAAAAGCCTGCAGGGACTTGGTATTTATTGAAAATGAAAATTGGCATGAGCAGTCGGTAATAAAGTAATTTAATATATGATCTATTTTATGAAGGCCATTGTAAATATAATTTAATACCACACACACACATACACACACACACACGAGAATTCCTAGGGTTCTTAATTTTTTAAAACAAGGCACTAGTTATGCTTACCTCTAACAATGCTTACTGATTTTAGTTTTGACCTAAATGTGAACAATGATATGCAGCTCAAAACTGTACAAAACTGATGACACGGGGAAGGGCAGGCTAGACTGTAAGCTCTCATCCATCATAAAGTGCTCTCCTAGGGGTTGGATCTGAGGAGAGAGAGTGTTCTTACTAGTCCTCAGTTTAGTTCTAAAGATCCCTTTAGCCTCCAGCTGGTTCCAGGGAAAACTTGCCCTTGCCCTTGAAACTGTTGCCCTCTTTGTTCTTCTGGACTGCCCTTTGCAAGGCGAGACCATCTCTTCCTGCCATCCCCTGCTTCGTTGTGCTTCACCTTGTGAATCTTGCCTGGGACTTAAGTCCTCACAGAAGGTAACAATGAGACTTGAAAGGCAGTCTCTGCCGTGGCTTTTCCTTTTCCTAGAACATCATGAGTGCTCCCTAATGTTAGTGAAGAGCCATATCCCTTTGTTCTCTGAGTAGATGTATTATAACTGTTCAGAGTTGTTTTGATAAATTGTTCTATCGCTCAGCCTTAGGAGTGCAATCCACAGTCCCATGATAAACAAGTATAGGGGACAGAGAGTGAGTGGAAGGAAGTTCCCTATACTTAATTTTTAAAGAACTAGTAAGTTGGTGATGTACCAAAGAGTACTATAAAAACTGGCAGTTTCACAGGTAAACAAAGCAGGCACTTGAGAACTTTGAGAAATTAGTAGCCTCCATCATCCTTCACATATGCTGAAAACCACATGTATTTTCCTCTTTTTTTCCCAGGGTTTGAGGCAGCATGCAATCTCATTAAATATCAGGAAACCACTTAACAGACTAAATTAGAGATTTGACCCCACAGTTACTTATCTTAGTTCTCTCCTCAGACACTAAGACTCTAACTGAATTCAGAAGTCCTCACATTCCTGGCTCCCATTTGTTCAGCAATGTGAAGGTGTGTCCTGCTGGATCTTCCATTTTTACCAGTCCAGCTTTTAGAATACAACCCCTTAATCCAATCTTACAATCATGCAGTATCACCAGTGTTTCAGCTCAGATTATCTTTTAAGCTGGTGTGGAGTCATCATTGGGTTCTAACTTCTCAGGTGTAGGCTCTGTTCTGATGTCCTCCTCCATTTTACAGGAACAGACAATGGTGAAGTTCTTCCTGATTCCATTCCATCTGCCCCTGGAACACTGCCTCATTTCATAGAGGAGCCCGAAGATGCCTACATCATCAAGAGCAACCCTATTGCACTCAGATGCAAAGCAAGGCCAGCCATGCAGATATTCTTCAAATGCAATGGCGAGTGGGTCCATCAGAATGAGCATGTCTCAGAGGAAAGTCTGGATGAGAGCTCAGGTAAGAGGCAGAGCAAACAGAAGAAGCTGAGGTTCCTACTTAAGTAGTGTGTGTGTTGGGGGAGGAGGGGCTAAGCCACCTGCCATCCCTGTATGTGGATGAAGTTAACATTACATCATTTTAGATATATAAAACAAATAATCTCCTCTTTCAGTGACCTGACAGCTCCCTTTGTTGTTTATCCCAGTATAGTTCAGAGCCATTTTTCATGCTCTGCATAACTTCAAACATCCCACATTGTATGAAGCTAATATTCCCACTGGAAAATAAACCAGACAGTTGCTGTTTTCATTGTATGAATTCTAAATAATTTGGGGACAAATATTAAATCTTTCATCAAAACCATTTTAAGCAGCATAATTTCAATCACTTTCATCTTTCCTCCTGGATCTTACTCTTATGTCCTTATTCTCCACAGCTGGTAGTTACTGATTTTTTTTTCTAAAGTTTTGATTGTTCAATAGTGACACATCTAGAGCCAGAATACTGTATTCTGATGGGTTTCAATATGGGCCGATTTTAGAATCATCTTTATTATTATGCATAATTTTCCTGATAAGTTATGAGAATATGACCACATTCAGCTATAGTTTACTGAGTACTCAAGCTATAAGGCATTATCCCAGTGTGCACTCTATTGGTATTTACAAAAATTAATTGGGGTTGATAAGATTTTTATCTCTAACAGATAACGTTTGGAGGCTCAAAGAGATTGTAAATGTATTTGAAGAGTATTACTAGGTCTCACTATAATAATTTTTAATGAAAACACTCAAATATTTTTAAAAGTTTAGATTGACTTACTTTATTTGACTGTTTTGCTTTCAAGTGTGAATGCATACCATGTATGTGCCTTTCATAGCAGGTCAGAAGAGGGGCATCATTTCCTCTGAAACTTGAGTTAAGGATGGTATTAAATCATCCTGTGGTTGCTGAGAACCAAACCAGAGCAACAAGTGATCTTAACCACTAGCCATCTCTCCAGCACACTATCAGAGATTTCTTTTGCCTGCTTTTGGGACTCCTTTCCTCCTATTGAGTTGCCTTCTCCAGCCTTGTTATAAGTGCTTTTGCCCTGTATCCTGTTTTGTCATGTTTGGTTGTTGTCTCTGAGAGGCCTGCACTTTTCTGAAGGGAATTAGAAGGATAATGGATCTGGGGAAGAGGAAGGGAGGGATCTGGGAGGAGTAGAAGGAGATGAAACTCTGGTCAGGACATAGTGTATGAGAGAAGAATCTATTTTCAATAAAAAAAAGAGAAATCAAAGATGAATTAAAAATTAAGCATATTTTTTAAGTAAAGTTTTTCTATTTTAGCATGTAACAGAAATCATATATGCTTTTAAACTTTAGTTTCTCCCACAAGATTCATTCTGGACTGATACTAGATTTTTTTTTATTTATTTATTACAATTTCTTCACTTTGTATCCCAGCTGTAGCCCCCTCCATCAGCTCCTCCCAATCCCGCCCACTCTCCCTTCTTCTTCTCCTCCCATACTCCTTCTCCAGTCCACTGATAGGGGAGGTCCTTCTTTCCTTCCATCTGAACCTAGCCTCAAAGGTCTCTTCAGGGTTGTCTGCATTGTCTTCCTCTGTAGCCTGGTATGAATGCCCCCCTTTTTTTATGATTCCAGATTTGATCAGTTACCTAGATATTAGATTTTGAATAAATCAGAAGGCCTTGTTATAATTAGAAATTTCAAATGAGCTTATTGTGTTAAATATAATACTGGTAGTCAATGCATTGTAGGGCTTTCAAAATATTTAATTATAGGAAAGATATAGCTCACATGGCTGTTCTACAAACATAGGGAAAAGACAAGACAAATGTTTTAACAAGTATGGTATAAATGAAGTCTGAATGTTGTAAGAGAGAAGTGTGGTATTGTGGATTCACAGAAGACGCCACATCCCATTGGGAATTTTTTGAAAAGGGCTTTACTGATCCAAGTAGGCATCACGGATGATGCACTTATAAGGTGTGAAGCATCGTGATGGTGCCTGGGCCGCCGTAGTTAGCCAATAGAAAAAGCTTAATGTATGCCCAGTAAGAAGTGTAGTTTGTTGGAAATACAACATTGCTCTAGGACCGTATTTCTCAACCTGTGGGTGGCAACCCCTCTGGAGGTTAAACAACCCTTTCATAGAAATTGCAGATCAGACATCCTGCATATCATATATTTACATTATGGTATATAACAGTAGCAAAGTTGCAGACATGAAGTAGCAATGGAATCATTTTATGGTTGGGGGTCACCACAACTTGAGGAAATGTATTAAAAGGTTGCAGCTTTAGGAAGTTTGAGAACCACTGCTCTAGGAGAATGGCAACTGATGAAGGTTGCAATCAGTGATGTGTAATGCCTCAAAGTCCATTGGGAGGAAGTCTGCATTAGGATAGATGTTGTTGTTCATTATGTTGGGATGTGGAATTCCAATGACTAGACTGCTTCCCAAGACAAATCCTGCAGTAGGTTTGGGATGGCAAGGAGAAGCTAAAATGAGGAAATTTGGAGACCTGGATAACACAGGTAAAGAAAGGGAAGTCAGATGCTTGAGTAGGGAGTGGGTGTCCAATATAAGAAGCCCTTTAGTAGCTATGACTTAAGGACCATTTATTAACATTGGACTTCAGAGCTGATCGGGGAAATAAATGAGTGGAGATAGATTAATATCAATTAACCTATTACCAGGAGGGAGGCACAATTAATTCAAATTACATTAACAGGGAGAGTAATCGAGAGATGGCCATGTGGGACAAGCACAATTTGAAGTGTTTATGTGTTCCAGTGCAAAGACAGAGGTCAGAGGGTTGACAGAGTTCAGAGGCACATGAGTATATTGAGCAATTGCCAGCAAAGAATGGATGTATGGAGATGGAGGAATTGTCAGGGCAAAAGCCAGTGTGAACAGAAGCTTCATCTGGGAGCATCTAGGAGCTTGTCATCAGAAGCCAGAGGGAGGGAAAGCCCTCTCTGATAGAGAAGTGACTGGAGTATGCAGATTTCCAAAGGAAGAGAGGAGTTTGCTCAAAATGATCTTCAGGTAAATGCCTGGAACAGGAGAATGAAAACATGTACACACAGGAGAGACAGACAGCAGAGAGTGTGTGTGTGTGTGTGTGTGTGTGTGTGTGTGTGTGTGTGAGAGAGAGAGAGAGAGAGAGAGAGAGAGAGAGAGAGAAGAGCACATTTCCATGCAGTTATCTTTGTTAATTATTTGGGATAAAGGGATTCAAAATGGCTGGTGGAGAAATAGCAGAAACATGCATTCCTATTCTTTTGGGATTCAGTTAGAGTAAGAAAACACTGCCTGCCTTGGATGTGTGATTCTCAAGACCATGGCATGCTTGGTTGACTCCTGTGATGTAACAGAGGGACAAGAGGACAGCTCAGAGATTATCTAAAAGCTTTATATTAAAATGTCTGGGTCCAAGAGGTATATATAGTTTGTGACATAGCTCCTTCTTGGCATAAATACTATGTTCATTTTAGGCAGATTCTTCAACACTATGAGCCATTTTCCCTACATCCTCATACACTACTTCAAATCAAAATATTTACAATTTCTCTTTGAATTCTACACATAGATCATCATTTTCCATCATGAATGTGCTTAGGTTTTATACCTAAGTAAATCATCATATATACCCCATCAGGATTTGCTATTCCTTACCATATCAATGATCTCCTTGAGGTCCATTTTTTATTCCGTGCAGAGTTTCTTATATTGTTAGGCAAAGTTTTCAGGATTGTGGGTATAGTTTCTTTGAAACGATCATTTGTAATTTCGAAGATAAATGAGGAAAAAGACATGAGTTTCCTATTTTGTATTCCCAACTTTGGGATGTATGAGGCCTTATTAGAGGAACTTGTTGGGAATGGTTGAGACAGAGACAATAGAGACCTTTTTTAGAATGAGAATTTTATAGGAGGATGCTAAGATGTGGGAGCATTACCAGAGGTATACTCAGCATGTAAATTGTGGCCTACCAATGTCAACAGATTGTGAAAAATTGTTATGTCTAATGAGGTTTCAAATGCCAGAAGACCAATAGGGCTGTAGGTCACATTTTCAGGAGTCTGTACCCTACATTGTATAATCTGCTCCAAATATAAGGCAGAATGCAATCAAATGATCAGCCATTTTTCTAACACTGTTTAGAAATCTAATATCTAGCCCCACTTAACTGCCTCTTGGTAAACAGTACAAGCCAATTTAATAGTTCACCCACATGATATTTCACAACATTCTGTTTTGTTATTATTTCCTCCTTTTAATTCTACTAGCATTGCTAGGCAACTTCATGTCTTGTGGAGAACATTGTTGATTCTATTTTCCTCTAAATAAAAACCTGGCCTCTAATTCTTTTTTTTTCTCAAGCCAATAAAAGTTATATGTTTCAAAGGTACCGTGCAGAAGAAAAAAAATCATAAAAATAATAAATGACAAAATCATAAATGATTTTGCCTTTTTTATCTTTTTTTTTCAATGCCTTTGGAAAGGAATTTAAAGCTTAACAGTTACTTCTCTGTAAGAAATGTAGTAAGTACAACCTTTTTGTATAAGTCATTTTGGTTGAACCAATAAGAAATGACTATTTCTCTTCAAATAGTTTTTCTATGTTAATGAAAATTGCTATTTGCCACATCTTATGATTGCTTTTCCAGGTATTAATACTAGAATGGTATAAACAGTATCAGGATGAGTGTAGATATTTATCCCAAATCAATACATGAGTACAATTAAATTTAGGAACAAAATAATCATAGGTATTGAAAAGTAGAAGACTATTTATCTCCACAGGGTTCCCCACAGGAAGCTGGGTGCTGCAGCTGGATTACTGTCAAAGACTTAATGGCTTTTGATGGGATCTGTAAAATAATACCTTACAATACAGCAAGGCTGAATGGCACTAAGAGGCCAAGGAGAGGAAACCTTGTAGGAAGTCACTTTTGACCTGTCTTTGGACATGTTTTCCATTTCTAAACTTTTAGAAT